GAGGCAGGCCAGCAAGATGTTTATGAAAGCTGTATATTTCATGTTTATAAGCAATATTTTTCTTACTGTAAAGACTGACAAAAAGGGACAGTTTTGTCATCAGGGTTAGTCAATGAATGTGATAACAACAAATTAAGAATGTTATACAAAGTAAGGTTGGCAACGTTCGGAGCAATATGAACAGTAATAAAGAGAAGCTTGCCAACTAAGCACGTGTGCTGTGGCATGGCAGACGCATTGAACAAGAGAGTAATTCGATGGTCATGATAAGATGTATGTAGAGTGATTGATTTCAAGTGGCTCTCATAAGCGGGGCATTTTAGGTCTTAAAGCATAAGATCTCTTGCACACAGTGTTATGCACACAGCATCTCTCCATTCTGAGGCTTCAACAGGGTGGCGTCAGTGCCATAGAACGCTACCAATGCATGTGTGAAACTTACTGCAAAGCTGCTGCATGGTTCTGTGTCACTGAGACACAATCAAAACACTTTTTTCCTCTGTACAGGAACTTGCAGCATAAACGCAGTGCCTGACCACAGTAGATGCAACTTTCCAATTTTGCTAATTCCTCCAACAGCTGAGTGCTAGCACTCTACTGAACCTAAAGTGAGTGGTGATGCCAGCAAATCTTCAGTAGGCTATGCCCCTGTGCTATCTAACGCATCAGTAAACAAGCCTCTGTGACATTGAAACAGTTTAGAGATGTGTGTTCTGCCAAGTGGAAATGACGTGATGCCTTTGAATAGCTTGTCTCTTGTGTGCAGGGGCTGAGGGATTGTGTGTGTTTGTGAAAGGAGAGTGTGATCAATGGTCACGCACCTGGAGTTGTAGAATTTAGTTTCTTGGAATGAAATTTGTTAATAGTGTCAGCTTGTCAAAGTATATACATGTTTGTCTTACGGTTATGCATTCAATTCTGTCTAGTGGATGAGAACATTTACATTTTGAACAGTGACAAACTGACACTGACAAACAGCAAGGGAGAGTCAGTAGGGTCGGAACACTTTTCAAAAATTATTTTTGTTTCATGTATTTTTAATGCAAAATGATCTTTGATGGATTCTAATAGATGTTTGATTGATATGTGAGGTTTAACATCCCAAAACCACTATATGATTATGAGAGACGCCGTAGTGGAGGGCTCCGGAAATTTAGACCACCTGGGGTTCTTTAACGTGCACCGAAATCTGAGCACACCGGCCTACAACATTTCCGTATCCATCGGAAATGCAGCCGCTGCAGCCGGGATTCGAACCCGTGCCCTGCGGGTCAGCAGCCGAGTACCTTAGCCACTAGACCACCGCGGCGGGGCTTCTAATAGAAGTTGAAACGTGCTACGGATTTTCTGAGAAGTAACGATTCCCACTTCTTCTGAAGCAGCTGCAGAATATATTTTGTGATAGCTGAAATCTCCCCATTCTGCCCACCTCTCTGGGTGGAGTGGAACATTGCTTGGGAGGTAAGGAACGTCCGTAATGCAATGTTGAAACGTCTTTAGCCAGCATTATGATTTGATAGTTCAACATCAAACTGGAAGCACAATTGCGCACGCTTGTCAAGAATTTTTGACACCAGCAGCTTCATCACAGCGTTTGTCATTTGCACAGTCTCTATGTTCTTCTTAAAAGGAAAGGAAATTTCTGGACTGTGATGTTATCACTAGCCTCAACTGTACCTGTTTAATAAACATACAATATTCTTAGCAATACGTTCTGGCAGGCTACCTGGTTCATTGCTGTTATACATTCTTAAACTGCACGAAATGACCAAGACACATGTAAAAAAGAAAAACACACAGAACTCCACTCTTGCGCTTGTGTTGTTCTGTGTCTTGCTCGTGTCCTTATCATTCCTCGCAGTTTAGGAATATTTAACAGCAATATTTTTCAGAAAAAGAAAACTTCCAAGTTTTGTCCAGGAAAATTAATAGTTGTGGCAGGGCGTTTTCTATAAGCTCGCAATCAGAATTTGATTATTAAAAGTTGAGTAATGTTACAAGTATTTTGTATACAGAAGGAGGTTCAATAGTGGAAGACTGTGTCGAAACTTCCTGTACAAAGACAGTTGCTATAGTAAACAACTCAAAAGCAGCAGTAATGAAAGGTAGTATTCAAGTGAAAAACATAACATTAACAGAGCAAATTACACAAATGATTACATAAAATAGTACAATTTTAAGATATCACATGACAATAAGAAATATTGTTGGATTAAAAACAAAGTGATACAACAGCTTATTAACCTTTATCCGAAATTCCTCCCAACTGTGTTAGGCAAAGAAGCAAAAAAAAAAGGTAAAAAAAAAGGTAAAAGTCAGCTCATCGTGCCTAAACCTGCTTTTGCAAAACATATGATGCTGATGTGTTTTCAACGACAAATGAGCATTAGTATATCTGCCAAGTCTCCCAAATTGGCCGGTAGACTCCCGGATTTGAACCGTTTCTTCCGTTTGTACGGTTGTCATGAAAATCTCCCGGAAATGATATTTTGGTGCGTGACCTAGCCGCCTTGACAAAACAGCAGCTCAATCCGCTCCAGGCTTTTCGAACCTACCCCATTTTATTATAAATGAGTTTAAGAGGCATTCATCTAAACATACTGTAGAATCTCAGTGATGTGAAACCGCGGCAGATACAAATTCGTAAAATTCCTCATCGAAATTCCACTGAGCCTAAATTTGAATGTTCCGAACACATTTTCTAATCGCAGCGGGTGATACGAACTTTAGTACGGAAATCGTCGAACAAAGGCTGAGAGCAGCATACTCAGAGCTTCGGAAGTACGCGTGCGACCGGTGCACGCCCTGCCTTCTACAGTGTGCGTGATTGTCGTTACAACCGCTGTCGACGAAACCGTGGTCGCTTTTCACGCGATCATGTACAACTGACAGAGTCCCGAAAGTGTGCGTCCGTCCAACACTCAACCAGTCAAAGCAACGCTGCTTTCTGCAAACCCTCCAGACAAAACCGCGGCAGATGCGATCGTATACGGCATAAAACGACTGCTTTGAAGCCGTGTGCGCAGTCAAGCGCACGGGGATGAAAAAGGAACTACCATTTGCCGCAACCGCCGCGCACAACATCGTGGTTGCGGCGGTGCGATAGCGATCTACGAGCTCCGAGGGCACGAATCGGTAGACTAAAGCAGTAAATGCGTAAAAAAAAAGTAAGTTTCGCCGCAAGGGCGAAGCAATGAATTCGACAGCAACAACTTGGAATGTCACACTGAAAACGGCAAACAGATGAAAACGCGCAGCGCACTGCTCACGCACAAATGACGCACGAAAACAATACACACAAGACGAAAGCGAACTAACAACGTTCACCGCTCGACACGTAACGGCTGTTTAAACAAAAAAAAAAAGCGATGCTCGATACATAATTAAAGGTACGGATGAGTACAAACTAACAAGTGTCCCTGTTATACCTCGCTGTGTATGAAAAGCACACTCTTTTCGCAAACGGGGCCTATGCATAGACCGAAGATATCTTTGTGGGCCCGGCAACTAACGCAATCGTTCCAGTGAAAGCTGAAGGCGCGCGCACGATTCTCCCCACCGAAAGATAAGCGCGCGCGTACAAGCATCAACCCCCCCCCAATCCGCAGAGCAAAGTACGCATCAGAGGCAAGCGCGCGTCGGCGCATTGCGATGAGCTGGGCACCGAGCGCGGGCGGCTTTTTTTTTTTTTTTTTTTTCCTTTCTAGAGTGTTAATATATATAGATAAGTATACGTATACGGCGAATGACGGCGGTGGCAGCGACTGCAAAACACCAGCCCAGACTGTCAATAGCAAAGGGACCAAACGCGTTTTGGCGTTCCTCTCAAAAGAATCTGGTAGGGAGCAAAGCTTTGACTTGCGCTTTTGCGGCAGCCAGCTGCACCGTCCCGTCCGTTCACGTGTGTCCCAGTAAGACATACACGAGCTGTTTTGAAAGAAATAAATTTTGCTAGTTGCGTTGATCCTTTGAGACTCTCACCTTAATGGGAAACCCTACCTTCGTGTGTTCGGTCACTCCAAGCCGACCTCAACGGCGTTGTTTGCACTTGCGATTGAGACTCCCCATCCCTTCTTGTTTTTCACGATGGTTTTTTTTGTTTGTTTGTCCTTGGTGGTTTTTTTTTGTGCCGAAAAAAATAGGAGCAAATAATTCTGCACCCCTCCCCCGCTGCGGAAATCTCCCGGATTCAGAATCCTTGAACTTGGCACGTATGGCATTATCCACAAAGGGTTTTAAATGTAAGATAAGTGCAATTGAATAGCATAAACTTGCTTATGACACATGAAATAGGCAAGTTTTGATTTCGGAAAGCCCCATTCACCAAAGACGACCGTCGTTACAGCGAGGCTATTGGTTTGCTAGTGCAATTTTATCAGGGTCGGCCACAGTGGTCTAATGACTATGGAGCTTGACCGCTGATCTAAAGGTTGTGGGACTCGATCTCGGCCACGGTGGCTGCATTTTGATGAGGACGGTATGCTAAAGGCATGTGTACTTATGTTCAGCTTCACGTCAAGGAACGCGAGATGTTCAAAATTTCTGGAGCCCTTTCCTATGGCGTTTGTCACAATTATTTGATGGTTTTGGGACAGAAAACCCCACATATTAATATTATTATTATTGCCCTTTTATCAATAGTTGGTTACCGTATTTGACAGTAACTGCTGGAGAGGTATATGAGCTGTTCCATTTCTTCAACTGTCCCGAACCTCCGAGCTCTTCTCTTAGCGTCAACCAAAATTTTCAAAATAAGCCTGGGGAGGTTTATGTCATGACTGCCTCTCTTGGCTGCGTTATTCTGGTTGTTTACTTTATTTTCACTACTTCCCAACAGGTGCTTAAAAAAAGTATTTTCACTTGATTCTAGGATGTGAGTAGTTTTTTTTAAATTAAAGATGTTGAAATTTGTCCTCGCGGTGATGTTTATAGATACTTCAGTTATTTCTTGTATTGGTAACAGATGCTAGCAAGAACTATACGCCCACAAATTATTGCAGGTGAAGCCATATGTGTGTCCACACTGTGGGCACTCGTCAGCACGGAAGGCCATGCTACAGCTTCACCTCCGCCAGCACACAGGAGAGAAGCCATTTTCATGTCAAATTTGCGATTACCGCACAGGCGACCACAACTCACTGCGGAGGCACAAAATGCGTCACTCGGGTACCAAGCCATACAAATGCCCACACTGTCCTTATGCCTGCATCCAGGTGGGTTGCTTGGAGCTTTGTTTTCTTCGTTATACTACATATATGAGCATAAAGGAAGGAAGTGTACTTTTAACAGCTCATTTTTTATGTTAGACACAATATTGATGAGATCTAACAAACAATTATGTGTGCCAAGGAAAGTATAGGGGATGCTCTTAGAAGTAATTGTAATGTAAATGTGAAGAAAGAAAAAGTAGATGAAAGATGACTTGCCGTAGACAGGGACCAAGCCTGCGACCTTCAAATAAGGTGTCCGATGCTCTACAACCGAGCTACTGCCACGGCGCATGTTTCTAACGTGGATGGAGGATAGCCATCGTGGTAGCTCAGTTGTAGAGCATCGGCCTTATTCGGAGGTGGCAGGCTTAGTCCATGCCTGCGGCAAGTTATCTTTTCGTTCACTTTTTCTTTCTTTGCATTTACATTGCAATTACTTCTAATAACATCTCGTATACATTCCTTGATGATTGTCTGCTATATCTCATATGTATAAGAATAATTATTTGTTTTTTTCTCCATGTGCTCCAGCATTTGCTTGAATAGCTACACAAATATGCAATCCTTATATGTCCTTGATCAAACACAATACTGGCCATAATTTGTTAGTAGTACATATAAAAATAGGCATTGTAATGGCACCTCATGATTGTTCTTGACTCTCCAGGTAAAGCAAGTAAGGCAGGTGGTTGCCCTTATGAAAAAAAAAAAGTCAAAGTGCACTCTGTTTCTCTGTGGATCTATTGCCGTAGTTTGATTGTATGCAATACGGTGATAAGTCGAACTTATGAAATTATCTGACATTGTGTTAGTAACCAAGATTAAGTATGAATCCATAGCAGTGAGATAAATTTCAGTGTAATAGTGAGGTAAATAATGCCTTTGTCATGTTATTTATGTTTATTGGCTTGCTTATTTACTCTGTTGTGGGAATTTTGATTTAAAAATTAGCGATTTTCACTAAAGCAGCATAAGCCTAACTGATTAGTAAGGATGTGCAAATAGTGGAATTTCATCTCAAATCGAATTCCAATAAAATAGTGCTGAATAATGGCTGAAAATGTTGAATATCAAGTACAAAAGATTTTATTGAAAAATGCAAAAAAAGTATATATAAATGAAGTCTGCTCGTGTCCTCATGCACATAACGCACTGATTGACTGCTACCGAAACACTGCAAGTAGTCATGCAGAAGCACGAACTATTTTAAATGACCTAGCTTCAGGCCCCCTTGCCATGATATTACGGTGTTTCCTACAGTTGAAAGCATGCTTCATTTCTTTATTTATAAATGCTGCAATCCCGAGCGAGGGATTATAGCAAGGTGGGAAATACAATCATAAGTATAGCAAGGCAAACAACAAATTAAACATGAACATAAATACGAAAGTATGGTATACAGTTCGCAGAATGCTTGAGTAAAAGAAAAATCAAACAAGAAAACTCTTATGTAATATACGTAAAAAAAACAGTAACTAACATGAAGACAAGATACCATTCAAGATACATATATGACACAATTAAACATGACGCAAACATTTCAAGGATTGGCTGTAGAACACCTTCATTGGTTAGATTGTTTCAGTCAGTGACTGTCCTCGGAAAAAAATGAATACTTGAAACAGTTATTTCGAGACTAAAAGGGTGTGATAGAGAGGTTATGTCACTGCCTTGTCGAATACCTGGAAGAGAAAGATAGTAGTTGACCAATGTCTATCTTAAACTGCTTGTTTTTTAATTGATAAAATTATTTTAGCGAAACATTCAGTTTTGTTTTTTCAGTTATTGGTGGGAGATTAGCTCTCTTCAGTAGTGCACTTACAGATGTATGACCGTAACATTTGTGTATAAAATGGGCTGCCTTTTTTGTGTGTTTTCAATCTTGCTTATGTTCGCATAGTAAAAGGATCTCATATTATAACTGCATAATCCAGTACTGGCAGAACTATGGATTTGAAAAGAAGCAGAGATCACAAAGAAATTTCAGTGATGTGAATTAAGTACAGCTTCATGCTTTGCAGTGTGGCAGTGGCAATAACATGGCATGAGCAAGCTTTCACGTGCAAAGTTAATCTGTACTGAAGTAGGGACGTGTTATGGCACTTGCGGAGTATGCGACCAAACTACACGAGAAGTACGTGCCTTCATTTCAGAAGTGAAGTTTTGAAGTGCTTGCATGTTCACATGTCTGTTTCTTTGTGCTGAAAAGACATAATTTTCTTCAAAATAAACATTCTTTTGTTTCTGGACAAGTTATATAAATCCTTGGAAGTTTTAACAAAAGGCCTACTGTATCGATGTTAGCATTGGTTTGGGTCACTCCACCCTAACCATGTTTCACCATTAGCCTGTGTTGCGCTCTAGATACTCATACCATCAAATTATGTGAACTTCAAATACTAGCTACTCGACAGTCGAATTGAATTGTTCGATTAGGCATTATTCGATTCAAATTCAAAACTCGAATATTCGCACAACCCTACTGGTTAGTATCATTTATGTAGTACAATTTTTCAATATAATCTACGTGTCTTGCCATATACATACCTTTTTATCACTTGTGGAAAACAACAAATCGGAACCCTACGTGACTAGTAAGTAGTGAAGTTTGAATTGAGGCGAGCCTAAGCAGAATCTCATGAGAAAAATCGCCAAGCATTCTGAATACACAAGTTGAAAGCTTATTCTTTGGATGTGACATGTGATACTGATGCATTTTTTTTTATTAAACTGTAAACAGGTGCAAAAAGCTACCGTATTTACTCGCATGATCATCCCACCACCTACTTCAGTCGGTATAATAAATGCATCCCCTACATTCATCTGCTGCAGTCCTGCAAGCTGACACCAGGTGCCTCCTTGCCCGTTGGATCTTTTTTGTTTATTATGCCGACCCCCCTCGACCACCTCGGCTCACTCCCTCCCTCCTTCTGCCGCTAATGTGTGCCGTTTTGATATCTTTTCTTTCTATGTGCGGCACGTTTTTTGCCTTTTTCAATTATCCATGCACCACAGCAGGGTTCACTATCTGTGCGAGTGTAGCGACATCTAAACTGACAAGCACACAGCAAGTGAAGGTCACGAAACTGCTTGCGCCAACGAATGGTCGCTTCCTGCAAATACGAAAATCCCGATCACATGCACGCGATTTTTGAGGGATGACAACAGGACTTGCTGTCACAATGATTGTCGCAAAGGGCCATTCGTCACCATATGTCATGAGTAAAGGAAAGGCACCAGACGCTTGCCGAGCGCGGAAGTGCGGCAGTGGCGCACGAGCAGAGTAGAGTCACCCGAGTGCACCCGCACCAGCCTTGTAGACGCAAGAGAATGGTTGGATAAAGGCTCGTGGCATGCGACTCGAGCCAAGAAGAAAAATTCCAGAGGATGAGCTGGCACTGTGTGTTGAGACGCTGAGCGGTGAAGACATGGGAAACGTGCGTGGCTACCGCGACGAGAGCAGCACGACCGCCCGGTTCTGAAGGATGTTAGCGTGAAGAGCTCGGAAAGTGGCTGTCGACCTAGGAGATGGTCCCGAGTGAGGCTGCCCGGACTTTCTGCATCCTGCCCAGCAGTTCCTGGTGGCCTTGCACCTTCCCCACATCGCACTAGAACGGAGCAGACCTCACAAGTCAGCAGCAGAGCGGACGCGTCAGCGGGAGAGACCATGACAGGGCTAAGCATAGCCTAGTGAGGCCGAAGAAGACGATGAAGAGCGGCTCATTTGACGGGATCAGCAGGCGGCGCGACAGTAGGAGGCTGAGGAGAAAGTCAACGGTGTACGTGACAAACCTGAACATGGCATCGGAAAAAAAACTGACATGAACCGTAAGATCGTTCGATTGTGGAGATGCCATATTTGATTAGAAGCAGTGGCTTGGGCTAAAAACAGATTTAGATTGGTTCGCAGACTATTTTGCTTGTACTGTTGTTGGGGTAATTTTTTGTCCAGGAGTGTTGGTTTCGTGTTCCTTTTCGGTTTTCCGCCTTCAATTTTTTGGGTTATAAAGTGCTTGTTGTTTGTGCCACGCCCATCTCTTGACTCTCAATTCTATCCAATGCAAGCGCTCCCAAGATAAGTTCATGACATAAAGTGGCGAGCCTCTTCCAGGATTTTTCTCTTGTGCGGCCCAGTCACATTATCTTCGGGGGTGGATTACGAGAAGTTGACGGCCGGGGCCAAAGACGTGGGAATGACCAAGGAGGAGACGCTTAAGTTCTTTAAGAATGCGCAGAAAGAACGTGAATGGGAGCACGAGCGTGAGAAAGAGAGGGAGCGCGAACAGCACAAATGCGAAAAGGAAGTCCACGAACTCAAGCTGAGGTTAGCGGAGATAAATGCTTATTCGCGCAACAGCGCCTGTGCTGGGAATACCCCCACGTTGGCATCAGCCAGCTCACCTACTCCCTTACCTAAACAGATTCGCCCACGCAAGGTACCCTTTGACAAGTGAAGGGACGACCTCGATGGTTACATGCATCGTTTTGAGTGCATCGCGATCGGCTGAAATAAGAGTGGGCAGGCCAATGCCTTGAGTCTTTGTCTACTAGGGGAGGCACTGAGTGTGTTTGGCCGCATGCCAGCAGAGGAGTCGCTAGACTACGATTTGGTCAAGAAAACTTGATTGGGGGGGGTCAACAGTTGCTCTAATTTCAGCGAAAACAGCAGCCATGTTGGCTATCTGCTTGCAGTTTGCGTCATAATCAATCCAAGTGCGCAGACCCTAACGCTAAACCACGGTGTGAGATATGTATCCTCATTAGGTCACAGCACTTGCGACAAGCGATCCACCAGATAAAGTAACAAAGCCGCACGCTATCGGTCCACTAACCACTGCGGATACCCGTCGGTGGGACGATGCATATTGAAAACAAAAAAAAATTGTTGCTGTAGCCATCAACACTTAGCAGGAAATATGAACCTCCTAGTCAGCAAACATGGCTATGGCATGTTAGCAACTAAAGCTGGAAGCATATGCCACGTTGCCGGCAACCATGTTGGT